GTGCAGCGCTGATGCTGCCCGGTGTTGACTGGATGTCTGAACGGGGGAGCCCAGTCCTTTCACCAGTGGGACCAGTTGCCCCCGGAGTGGGATAAGCCCTATCTCTCTGTCCTAGGGGGAGGGGCGAGGCCGCCTGCGCTTTGCCAGGGATGTAAAGTAGGACAGGCCTCCCCAGGGGAGTGGCCATGGCAACAGGGAAAGTTCTGCTCAGAGGCAGATGTACCCAGGGCTGGCTGGGAGACATGTGGTGCTGCTTGCCCAGAGTAAGGAGACGGGCTATGGAGGTGACTTTCGAGCCTCAGTGACTCATCTGTAAAATGGGAGCTAAGCTTCCAGCTCACGATTAGGGTCCCAGGCGAGGGGTCAAGGATGCGAAGACTGTTGGAAGCCGCAGAGGGAGGCCTGGCCCTGGCTGCTTTATGACTCTCTTCCCCAGCAGCACGGAGGCGTCCCAAGAGGAAGGGCTTTGCTTTACTCGCTGCTGCATCCCCAGCACCTAAAACAGTGCCTGACACAGAGCGGCTGCTAATCGATATTTGCTAACTGAAGACTTCGTCAAATAAGAAGGTGGGGACATTGCAAGGTCCTGGCCCAACCCAACATCGAGAATTCTACCAGGCTCTGAGTCTGAGCTGTTAGACACCCTACATTAGAGAGAACCCCCCCGACTCCATCTCTGACCTACCCCAGACCCCCCACGCACCCCCGAGGATCACCTTGCCCCCAGCTGTGAGCACTGAGGGCAGACAAGGACTAGGATCACCTGGCCTTGGGAAAATTGCCCGAGCCTGTGATTCTCAGACTTTGGCTGATGAGAGGCTTGGGGTGGGGGTGGGGATATGGGTGTGGGAGGTGATCTTTGTGGCTACAGGGAATACAGGTTCCCAGGCTCCTCCCCAACCCTACTGAATCAGACTCTCTGGGGTGAAGCCTGGATGTTTGGGGTTGTACCAAGTTCCCAGGGGATTCTGGTGACTGGCCAGGTTGGGGATTTCTGCCCAGCACATCGCCTCCTGCATTTGGAAAGGCTTTAAGGGGTCTCCCCATCCAACCCAGGGTCTGGTGCTTCTTGTATACACTTGAGGAGACTGAGGTCCAGAAAGGGGCATGACTAGGCCAGGCCCCAACTCTGGCACTCCTTTGCCCTGGGGCTCAGGCTCCCTACTTCCGGTTCTTCATCGACTCTCATGGTGTCCAGCCGGCCTGGGTGACTGGGGGCTGATAGTTCACCTTGAGACACAGAGCAGCGGGGAAGGGGCTAAGGGCTACCCACCGTCTCCCCCACCCCCGAAAGCCCTGAGTTTGCAGCCTGGCCCTTGTTTGGGGCTTCCCGGGCAAATGCTTTATTTAACCTTTTAGAGTGACCATTTCTTCCCCTGAAAAATGGGCATCACAAGCCGCATTTCATGGATAGCAGGGTTGGTGAGGCAGTTAAGAGTTTGAACTTCGCAGCCGGGGTGTTCTGGTTTGAATCTCGCCTCCACTGGGTTGACAGCTGTGTGACCTCGCATTTGACTTGTACCTCTCTGAGCCTTTGCACCCTCATCTGTGAAATGAAGGAGAGGAATCCCAGCTTCATGGAGGTCACGGGGAGGATTAAGTGTGAGGTTGCCACGAAGCACCTAGTAGGGGCTCAGCTAAAACGAAAGCTCTTTTGAAGGAAGGCAGGAAGGTGATGACTCACAGGTCCAGCCTGGTCCACCCCAGTGCTGGGGGGAAGCCAGAGAACTGGCCGGGAGCTTTGCCTCTGTATCCGAGGGGCAGCCCAGAGCAGGGGCAGTGGAGGGGAGAGGTGTTTATTGGAACAGCCCGGGAAGCCGAGAGGCCCCTGGTGTCTGGCCATTAGCCGGTCCCTGCTGAATGGGAGGGCGCGGGAGGCTGGGGAAGTGATGAGCCGCGCGCAGCTGTGCGGTACTTTCTCCACTGAAAAGCAGTTTCCAACTTGTTATCTTAATGTGTCCTCACAATAACCCTGGTAATTGTTAGCCCAGGGATCGAGCTTCCTGTTTCAGACGCGAGATGAGAGCCCAGAGACGTCAGCGGGCTGGGCCAAGGTCACGCAGTCCAGCAGCAGCATGGGGCAGGGCAGGTGGGGGGCGACTAGTTTCTAAAGGCTGTGACAGCCGTAGGAGCCTCCCTCCTGACTTCTGTCTTGCTTACCTGCCTCTTGCCCCCATGCTCTGGAGGCACATGTCTGGGTCTGATTCCTGGATCGGCCACTTCCTAAATGTGTGTCTTGACCCTCCCATGGAGTTGCTCTGGGGAGAAGCCTGGTCAATATATGTAGAACACGTATGCACGTGGTGCGTAAGCTTTAGCTCCCTAAAGTCACATCACCTGTCTGGGCCTCAGTTTTCTCATCTGCCGAATGGGCAGTTATTTCGTGCCGAGCATTGTGTGAGGCCCCTGCGAGTTGGATGTTATTTAACATGAACAATAACCAATGAGACCACTTTCTCTTTGTCCCATTTTCCAAATAAGGAAGCTGAGGTGCAGGGGACACAACTTGATGTGCCTGTAGTTACTTGGCTAATGACTTGGAGAACCCAGCGCAGACTCAGACCTGAGATGCCAGAGGCCATGGGCCCTAAATGTGTCAACCTTGGGTTTCCGTCCAGGGAACTGTTCAAGGCTGATGCGCTTGCCTGGGGTTGTGGGGTCTGGGGGCCGTTGTGGGGTCTGTTTGGATGCTGCAGTAGCAGGATGTAGCCTCAGGCTGATACTTACCCCCCAGACCTCCGTGGACCGTGAACCCCCACTCTGTACCCGGCCCTGGCACGGCACGGGGTTCAGGTCCTTCCCGGGCCTTCCCACTTCCCTGGGGCTGGGAGGGGAGGCTGGCAGGCCCCAGACCGTGGCGGGAAGGCCGGTAGCTGGCCCTAGAGCCCGAGTGCTGGTAATGACCCTGTTCTCACGCGGAGGCATCTCACAGTCTCTCTCCACGCTGGAATCTGCTCTCAGAGCTCCCATTCCGGAACGAAGCGGCAGCGGATTATGTAACTTGGAGGAGGTTATGTAAGGATGTAGCAGGCCCTGGTAGCACTGGGGAGCAGGGCAGCTCCCCCCGCCCCCAGCAGAGGTCTCTGGGGGGCAGGCCCAGGCTTCTGCTCCCACACTGTTCAGCCAACTGCCCTGGGACTGAGACCCGCAGTGCGGCCTGGGCTGGAGAGGGGAGGGCGAGGCCACCGTACAGAATGGGACAGCGCTGGTTCAGGGCGCCAGGGCAAATCCTTTCCCCTCTCCAGGCCTCAGTTTCCCTTTCTGGAAAACTGAGGAGGAGTGGCTTGGGAAAGCTCTAGGGACCCTATGGGTTCTGGGGGTGCTGGGCCTCTATCGCCCTGGAGGCGAGGCCCAGATTTCTGGGTTCTGTCGCGCATGCGGTTGCTGGCTACCCGAGCAAGGGCACCATCTCTCTCGGGGCCTGACCTGCCTGTTCATCTGTAGGGAGCTGTGCTCCCCTGTCAGCCTGGGTGGCGCCAGATGGGCCTGGACTTTTGGGTTTCCAGAGGTGGGTGAGAGAGCGGAGCCAGGACATTCCATCCCTACTCTCTCCTTTGCTCCCTGCTGGTGTCCTTACAGAGAGCAGCCACACCACCAAACAGTAACTGTCATGACGAAGACAGCCGCCATGGCCTGGTCAGGCCTGTGCTCGGACACTCTGCGTGCGTCATCCTAACGAGTTCTCACAAGGGTCCTGTGAAGCATGTACCTTCATTACCCCTATGTGACCGGAGGGGCCGAGCCTCAGAGGGGGGAAGGTGACCTGCCCAAACCCACACAGCCAGTCAGGGGCCAAGCCAGGATTTGACTCCAGGTACATCCAACTTTAGAGCCCCCGATACTGTGAGTCTGCACAGTGCGGGCCTGCTTCTCTCTGGAGACCAGAGAACTGGGTACGGCCAGATGGCATCAACAGCCCTGTTCCGCGGTCTAGGCTCTGAGGAATGTCCGTCCCCCTCACTAGCCACCCCCGGGCCTCTCTGGACTCTCCACCCCCCCTTGTTCCCTTTGTGCCACCCACGGCGTCCACAACGGCATCTGGGAAGTGGGCAGTGCTGGCTGTGTGGGCACACGGGCACTTGTATTTTTAAACCCTGGCTCTGGCCAAGCTCTGAAGTCAATTCAGACAGGGCCAGGGGGTTTTCTGTGGGTACTGTTGACCCCGAGTGGGAGGGCTGGGGGCACCACTGGCATCAGGAGGCACCCTGCTGGTCAGCTGGACTGTTGCCAGCTTGGGAGGTGCTCAGCGCCGAGTGGGGTCTGTGCCCTCAGACCCTGGGAGCCCCTGGGAGCTTGAGCAAAGACCATGGCAGCAGGGGCCATGTTGGAGGCTTGGAAGGAGGAAACTGGGGAGAGCAGGGGAGGAGGGAGGAGGTGGGATGAAGGTTGAAGTGGCTGCAGAATGTGGGCGAGATGGCCTTTACAAAGCTTAGCGTCCACCCCACTGACTCTGAGCTGGGGAAGCTGAGGTCCCAAGAATAAGAATGTGCGGATCACACAGGGAGTTAGAGGCAGAGCCAGAGCTCGAACCCAGAGTGCCTGATCCCCAAGCAAGAGCAATTTTGGACTAGCTTCTCCTCTGGGCTCCCAGGGAAGTCCTGCTCACGGAGGCTCTGCTCCTGGGTAGGGGAGCTTTATTTGCCCTGTAGGCAGGCGTGGGAGGAGGAGGAGGCCCTTTCTGTGCCCACCGATGCCACCATGTTGAAGGGGTCAGGGCAGATTTCATAATCAAGGCCCCATGACAGCGGAGGATGTGATTGGAGAGTAAGAGAACCCGCTAGAGCCACTGGCCACCCCCCTCCCCATGGCTATCTCTATTCTCTCTCTCCTGATTTTTGGCATGTTGGCTACTTTCCTTGCCCTGACCCCGGGCACTGGGAAGGTCCCTATACCATCATACAGAGCAGGAAATTGAGGGGAGACCATTTACCCCTCATGATAGAGAAAGATGTAAAACGGAGGCACGAAGAGAGTGGGAAGATTCAGCTTTTGCCCCTGGCTTGGAAGATCTTGAGTTGTACGGCTTTGTCACAGCATGTTTCTGGGTGTCAGCTTCTTCATTTATCACACGGGGACAATCAGCAGCAGCAGAATTTACCAAGTGCTAATTTTATGCCAAGCACTGCAGTGGTCACTTTCATATGTGATTCTGCTCAACCTTGAGACGGTCCATTTCTCAGATGAGGAAACTGAGGCAGACGGTCCATTTCTCAGATGAGCAGAGCTGGGGCTACACACAAGCCAGTCTCTCCTCTGCCCGGATCCAGTCCAGGCCTCTCCCCAGATGCCCAACCCCTGCCTAATCCACTCTCCACACCACTACCACCAGCCTACCACACCACCTTTGGAAAACATGAACATAACTTGGTTATCTGCTCCCCAGCTGGAATCTTCCCGGATCTCCACTGCCTCTGGGGAAAGTCCGAATTGCCTAGCTTGGCATTCAGGACCCTTTTGTAAGCCAGCCCCTTACTTCTCCTGGTCACATCATTCTCCGGACAAATTTTTTTCTGCTCCCTCATGGCTTCACGCAGGAGGCTCCCTCTGCCATGTTCACTTTATCATCACACTCCTCTTCCTCCCTTGAAACCAGCCCAAAGTCTCTGCTTCTGTGAAGGTTTCTGTGCCTGTCCCTGAAGGAAGGGGTATCAGTCCCTCGTGACGCTCCCATTGCCTTGAGGGTGGTTCTCATCACCTAGTTTCATAGTTCATTGTTCATGTGGCACCCTCCCCAACTCACCTGACCCCACCCGAAGGTCCCCGGGGTGGGGGGGGGGGAAGCACTATGTGAGCCTCTCCAGTGTCCCCAGCCCCAAGGCTGAGCGGATGAATCCAGAGTGGATCAGGAAGGTGCAGAGAATGGCAGATCAGAAAAAGTTCTTTCTGAGTAGAGGCCACGTCTTGGGTTCTGGAACAGCTTTGTCTGTATCCCACTCATGAAGGATGGTTCAGGTTGAGAGCAAATGGCCCACAGTTGGACAGACCTGGAACTGAGATGTGTGGTTTTGGGTAGGTCACTGAATCTTTCTGAGCCTCTGGTTCCTCATCTGTGAAATGGGCAAACGATATGGTTAAAATGAGGAATCAGTGCGATAGTGCCTGGCAAACTTCTAGAGCGGAGCCTGATCTGCAAGAAGGTAGGTACTCAGTATAGGTTTCCTCTTTATTCCTTCTGTCACCCCCACCTTCATCATCCCCTTCATCATCGGCACCTCCATCACTGTAACCAACATCATCATCTCCTTCATCCTAACATCGTCATCATCACCTCCGTCATTATAACCATCATCGTCCCCTTCATCCCATCATCATCATCATTACCACCATTGGCATCCCCGTCCTTCATCCCCAAATCATCATCATCCTCACCACTGTCATCATCATATTCATCACTGTTGTCACCATCACCATCACCGTCTTCATCATCATTCTTCAGAGCCCTCTTCTTTCCCAGATATCTTCCCCTGTACTGGAGATTTTGCAAGAATGAGGTGCCAGCCAATGTGCCAGGGATTGGGCTGACTGCCTTCCTTTCATCATTCCATTTAATTCTCACCGTGAAATAAAAACACAAGCAAAAATCACTTCTCTCCTGTGGAGAATCTTCACATGTGCCACATGGGTTGCATGCACCAAATGGTCCCCGTTTTACAGATAGATAACCTGAGGCTCAGAGAAGTAAAGTAACTTGCCAAGATTATCCACAGCTTGTAAGCAGAGGAGCCTGGTCCAACTTTGGTCAGCTCTTTTAGTAACACCAAGATGCTTGGGGCTCCTGACTCACTTTCCCTGAGGGTTTTCTGCATTTGCTTCCTGTTACCAATGCTCCCTGCAAAAGGTCAGTATAAGTTTTCAGCACTTCCCTGCATTCCCTGGGCCCGGCAGAGAAACAGCAGCAGTTTTCACTGAGGGTTTTACTCAAAATCTAGAAAAACAAAATTGGGCATAAGCAAAGATGCCAGGGAGCTGGGTGGAGATTTGCAGGCTCAGAAGCCAGGGTCTTGGGGCCTTACCAGCTTGCTCACTCTGGACACACGTCATCATTACTCTGGACTCACAGGCTGGGCTGGGGTCGTCCTGCCTGAGGATCCAGTCCAAAGGAGCCGCTCCAGAGAAACTCCACCCCCACCTCAACCTCATTTCCAGTCTCCTTCCCATCTTTGTTCTCTTTCCTCCTGGAGAAGTATCACTGGCATCTCTGAAGTTGGAATAGAGATTCCCATGTTGGCTTTTTTTTAGGGTATGTCTGGTGATGCTCATTCTCTGGGAGAATGGTAGACTCCTTTGCTCTTCAAATCTGTATTAAACACCTGCTGTGTAGCACAATGTGCTGGGCACGAGGACCTAGACATGACTCAACACAGCCCTTGCCCCAGGGCAGCCCCCTCTTAGATCGTTATCTCTGGCTGTAGCTGAGACCTTTCCCACTGCCCTGCCATTGTTTTGGGAGGGTCCAAGGATAGGAGCCCATCTCCTCTCCCAGAGAGCCGGGCACAGAAAGGCTTTCAGAGGATGTTTGTAGGATGGAACTAAACTGGACTCAATAGAAACCAAACTTACCACGTAACTATGACCTGTCACTCTTCCCATGGGTCCACCCAACACCTCTGTGCGGACGTACCCTCACTGGGGTTGGATTGGGGGCCAAGTGGGATGGGGGAGGAGAGTGAGAGGTTGGGCCTTTTTTTTTTTTTATAAATGTGTAAATACAAACTTCTGTTTTGAGCATATGGAGGTCTTTTGTTTCTTTTGCTGACCTTGGTCAGGTTCCTAAAGCTAGTAAGTGGTTGGTTTATTATTCTGTGCCTAACAGAGTACCTAGCACATACTAGGTGCTAAATAAATATTTGAGGACAGAAGGAATAAGTGGATGAATGAGTGTTTATCTGTATTGCCTCACTTATTTCACTAGATGTTGCTGACTGGAGGCTCCCATTAATGGAGAAACACTGGAGGCATACTCTCGTGGGGCTTTGGGTAAGTGGCTTGTGAGAAGCCCTCAAGGCAACAGTGCATAAGGTTTCATGCTTAAGAGGGGTAGACCAACGGAAAGGGAAGAGGAGATCAGGGAGTCAACAGTTCATATACTCACTGACCCATCCATTCACCTACCTGTTCAGAGTTGGGGACCAGATATTGCAGCTTTTCATCGCCAGAGGGGTGGGCCTATCAGATGGGAGAGGTGAGGAGAGTGTTCACATTTCATCCATTCATACATATATCTACCCACCCATCTATCTACATACCCACCCACCCATCTATCCACTATCAGCCCATTAATTTGTGTATTTATGTTTCCGTCCGCCCGTCCATCTGTCCGTCCGTCCGTCCATCCATCCATCCGTTAGAGCGACATTGTTCATTGTTGTTGAGTGCCAGCCTCAGGACTTTAGACTAAAAACCATCTTTTCGACAGCTGTCAAGGAGAGGAGGTTAATTTGCATGAATAGCCCAAATTAATGCTGGAAGCTAATTGGACTTAAGCTGGGATAGTCAGAAAGGGACTTTTAGAGAGGGATGGGAAGCAGATGGGACATAGCAACTCTCATGAGCAAAACACCTGGGTTATACACTTATTAACCACTTCATACTAACTCTAGAGTATAGGACAACAGATGGAATGATCTGGATTGGCTGTTCTCAAAAGTTCTTAAAAGGGAGAGTACCTACTTAGGCTTTCTGGCATCACTGTTGGGTTCAGGACTGGGTAACAAATACTTTTTGAGTGAATAAACAATCTGGGAGGGGGTGACTTTCCAGAGCTCAGGGTCAAAGCCAAGACTGGACCTGTGAGAGGGGCCAGGTCTCTTGGGAATGGTCACCTTCTCTTTGCCTCCATGTTTCCCTCTCCCTACAGCTTATTCTTGACTTCGCTCTGCACTCAGAGTCTGAGATATAGTAGATGCCAATTTTGTTTCCAGAATGAGTGAGTGGACAAATGTATCCACTAGTTCAACACATATTCATTGAGTGCTTACTGTGTGTCAGGCACCGTTCTAGAAGCTGGGGGTATGACAGTACACGAGACAAACGCGGGTCTCAGTTTCATGCTCAACGTATTTGAAAAACAAAAGTGGGTCATACCTCTTATAAGGCAGATGCTGCCGCTGTTGTTTCTTGAGAGTCTGTGCCAAGTGGTGTTTCCAGGTGCCAGTGGGGGATGGTTGTCTTGGAGCCAAGACTCAGTGGTTGTTTCTGGGCAAAAAAGAAAAGGGTAAAGAGCACCTAATGAGGAGGCCAAACTGGTGGAAAATCCTAGGTGCTGTTGATTGAGCACTTGTTACATGCCAACATATAGGGTCTCTCTCTGATGTCTCTGCCTGAGAGGATGTAGGCTCTTTTATTTGCTCTGTCTTACAGAGGAGACACTGAGGCCCTAGAAGCTGCTGGGACTCACCCAAGGCCACATGGGGAGAGGATGGTGAAGCCAGGAGTTGAATCCAGGTCTGTTTGGTTGCCCTAGGCCCAAGTTCCTGTCCCATGCTCAAGTTCTTAACCACTTGCTTTGACTGCCAGGGAGGGTGGGAGGGGTAACAAGCTGCAGGCTATGCAGGGGCTGGGGCCTGGCCATGCAGAACTTTGGAGAGCTCCCTTGAACACTGCCTTAGCCCTTAGTCTCTTGGTCTTGACCGTGGAGCTGTCATGGGTGACTTCAGACAGACCTACCAAGCCGGGCTCCTTGCTGCCTGCCCACCGAGAAGGCCACTCTGCAAAGCAAATCGTGTCTGCCCACAGCCAGTATGGATCCTATATATTTACACAAGTCACTGAATACAAATTACAGATTGTTGTGATTTCGAAACACTGCCCTGCCACTTGGAGCTGCAGAGGGAGGCTGCGAGCCTCAGGGAACACCGTCAACAGCTCTCAGCCCTGCTGGGCAGGCTGCAGCTCTGGGAGAGGACAGTGAGTCGGCATCGCGGCTGCTTCCACTGCCGCGGTGGCGGGAGAGAGAACCTGGCTCTGCCATAGCTTTGAAGGTTGACCCCATCCTGGCTAGTTGTACAAATTTGCACTGATTCCTCCCCACATCTGGAAGCCCTTCCAGAAACTAGAGATGCTTATCATAATAAACCTTGCACACAGCCGGCTCTCACGGAGCACTTTCTGTAGCCCAGACACTTAATTCTTGCTACAACACTTGGAAATAGGTATGTGTCATCCCTGGTGTATGAAGGTGGAAAACAGGTTCAGAGAGGTTAAGCAACTCACTCAGGGTCACCCTACTATTGCTGGAGTAATTGTTGGAGATAGTCACACATCTAAGTCTGATTGATTTAAAAGTCTGGCTCTTAGCTATGATGCGGTCCTGTCCCCCACCTACCTCCTCTCTCTGAGACCCACCGAGAAGAGCTAACCTGGGGGAGCAGCCGGCAGCAGAGGACTCAGAGGACCCACGAGAACAAGCTGAGGGGCGAGCTCCCTGTGTGTGTACAGGTTGTAGGGCACGTGTCCTTTTGTGTCCACATACGTGTCCCCATGTGTGTCCGTGGGATGTTCCATGTGCCCACGTGCTCGAAGTTTTCTGTTCTGGATATGTCTGCACACTCACGTGTATTTTCAAGTGTGGGATTGTGTATTTTTGTGCTCTTGTTCACAAGTATCAAGGTGTGTGTGTGTGTGTGTGTGTGTGTTCATGCTAATGTGCATGGAGTGTGTATCTAATTTTCTTTTCTTTAAAAAAATTTTTTTTGGCAGGGGCGCCTGGGTGGCATAGTCGGTTAAGCGTCCGACTTTCGCTTAGGTCATGATCTCGCGGTTCGTGGGTTCGAGCCCCGCGTCGGGCTCTGTGCTGACTGCCAGCTCAGAGCCTGGAGCCTGTTTCAGTCTGTGACTCCCTCTCTCTCTGACCCTCCCCTGCTCACGCTGTCTCTCTCTCTCTCTCCTAGAAATAAATAAAACATTTAAAAAATTTTTTTTGGTTAACATTTGTTTATTATTGAGAAACAGAGAGAGCCAGAGCATGAGCATGGGAGGGGCAGAGAGAGGGGGAAACACAGTGCCTGAAGCAGGCTCCAGGCTCTGAGGTGTCAGCACAGAGCCCGATGTGGGGCTCGAACCCACGAGCAGTGAGATCATGACCTGAGCCGAAGTCGGATGCTCAACCGACTGAGCCACCCAGGCGCCCCTGGAGTGTGTATCTGATTTTCAACGGGTGCTTGCTATGGTCCAGGCACAAGCCTAAGTGCTTTATAGATAGTGACTCCTTTCATCCTCAGAGTAATCCCATGAGTCAAGAACTGTTAATATCCCCAAATCACAGATGAGGAAACTGAGGCACAGAGAGGGTACCAAGTTGTCCAAGCATCTCTTCTTTGTGATTACAGAAATTCTTTACATCTTTTATGCTGCCCTCCTCATTTATGGTCCATGGGGCTTAGGTATTGGCCCCCACCCCTGGCTGGCTATGGGACCCACGTGTGGCAAATCAGTCACTGTGATTGGTTCAAGCAGGTGAGCCAAGAGGCTCATGAGAAGCATCTGAGGGCCGTTCAGTGTTTACTGACAGCGTGGTCTGCAGGTGGCAACATCCACTCCTGGACCCCGGCCCAAACCTCCGGAATCGGGAACCTGCTTTCACAAGCCCACCAGGTGCCCCTGTGCACTTGAGGATCTGGACCTTGAGGGCAAACTGCCTGGGTGGGGGCTGGAAGTCCAGCCGCACCAGCCATGAGCCGTGGACAAGTTACAGAAGCTTTCTGTACTCCGTCGCCTCATCTGTGAAGTGGAAAGGAGAGGAGTCCTGGCAGTTTTGAGGACAGAATAGGTTTATACATGGAAAGTGCCTAGAGCCATCCCTGGTGTGTGTCCAGTTGCGGGAGGGTTCACTGTCACTCTGTTATTACTTGGGGACAGTTGTGAGACCTAGCCCTGCCCAGTGAGCATTGGCCCCCCCAGAGACTTACTGGCACCATTCGAAAGGGCATCCTGCTGAGATAGGATGTAAGCCTGGAGCTGCTGCTGGTGACCTTGTACTGCCTCGGGGAAGGGCTTGTCTGAGAACACTGCGGCCCAAGAAGAAAGTAAAGGGGAGAAGCATCTGGGACATTTCTGGAGTGCCTGGTCCATGCCGACAGCCACTGGACTTTTCAATGTCATGGGTAAATACATTTTGCCCTGGCTTTAGCCACTCTGAGCTGGGCTCCTGTCACTCACCCCTGAAGGACCCCCACCAAGTACCTAATCTGACTCCAACAGTTTTTGCAAAGAAGCAACTCAGGTGAACCCAAGACCAGACAGAGAGTCGAGGCAACTCTTGGATTTCTGACCTCCAAGCTGGCACCTCTTTGTGGCTGTCTTGTCCTGACAGAGCGATGTCACGCCTCATCTCTTGCCCACCCCCTTCCCCGTGATTCTCTCTGGGGGAGAGAACCGTGCCCCACGGAGGCCCACTGCGTTTCCTGGCCAGCGTCATTGCCTGCCTGAGTCCAAGCTCCGCTTTAGGCAGGCTTGTCAGGAACCTGGGCACTGAAGCCATGCGGGGGCATTTAGAAGAGCCTCTTTTGCTTTTTGAAGGTCAAGCAGATTTCTTTTTAGCCAGGCCCCTCACCCCAAGCCTGGAGATGGGCTGAGGTCAGAGGCAGGGGGACATCGTGGGATGGGGAGTGGCTGGGTTCTTCTCTTTCCTTCCTTATGCCAGGACTGTGCAGGTGGGGGCAGGCCAGAGGCCATTTTCTGCCTTAGCTTCCCCAGTAGCTTCCTGCTTCTTCCCTCAGCCTGCTCAGGCTCTCTCTGCCTTCTGCTGTCACCCCTGGCTTTCCGTCCATCTCCCCAGCTCCTCTCTCCTAGTCTTCGCAGATCACCCCCGTCCAAGTTCTCCCTTCTCTTCATCTCCCCATCTTTTTGTCTCCCATCTCCCCCAGCTTCGGCAGCCCCGCGGCCTCCCGGACCTGCCCGTCTGATCTCTCCTGGGTCCTGCGGCCTCCTCAGCTCACCCCCACCCACCCCAAGTCCCTTGACATGGGCCCCTCCCTCTTCCCAGGCCTCTCCCGACATCTCCATGGTGTCTGCATCTCCCTGCCTCAGGCAGCACCCCACACCTGTCTCCCTCCTCCCTCCCTCTCCTCCAGGTGGCCCCCTGCCAGTTGGGTACCAGTTGGGTTGCCATGGGAACCACTGAGCTGCTTAGAAAGCTGCCATAGATCTAATCACGGGCTGTGAGGTTTCAAGGAACAGCTCACTTTCTGGACGGAGGACTGGTGCTGACAGCCGATTAGGCCGAAGCTGGGCTGGGAGAAGGGGAGCAGGAGGTGTGGAAGTTGGCAGCCAAGGCAGGGCCAGCTGGGGCTCAGGGGCACCTGGGGACTGCAGGCCGGATCTACCCAGCCCATACTTTCCAGTCTCATCGGCACTCTCAGACCTTGTAGGGTTTCCCTGAAGAGATCAGTGGTGCTCCATTTATTCTCTCCTTCTTCCCCATCCCTCACATTCATTCATTCACATTCATTTATTCACACATCAAATTGCCCCCCCCCCCCCAGTTTTGGTCATGAGCTCCTGAGGCTTTCCCAGCACAGTGGGAGGGACAGACCCTCACACAGCAACCTTCCCCTGGGGGCTGCGTCCTGCTGGATGTCATCCAGGGAGATGCAAGGAGGATGGAGGTCCGTGCCAACTGGGGACAGCGAGGGGACAGGGAGGTGCTTCCCATGGGATCCGTGAGCTGAGTTTTGAGGGATGGGAATGCATCAGTTAAGCAAAAGGTGAGGGCCCTTCTGGACCCACAAGTTCTGTCTCTGAAGGTGGGCCATGGCTCTGTTTTGGGGTGCACTTGGGTGAGGCCATAAGGAGCTGCTACTGACTCCTCCAAACGGCGGTGACTTCAGAGCAGACCCTTCTTACAGCTGTGCTGGGAGTGGGGGTGCAGGGGGTGACCCCGCTCCTGGAAAAATAGCCCTAAATCCCCAGCACCCAAGTCCCCTGGAGTTGATGGGAGGACAGGAGGGCGGGGGATTATTTAGGGGGAGATGGTCACACCTGCTAATGCCTCCCCACCCCCAGCTGTGGAGCCAATGGGTTGCATCAGAACTTTATGGCCAGAAGGGCCTGCCAGCTTGGTCTAATCTCAGATGGCTCCCCCTGGTACCGGGCTTTCGGTTTCTCTCATCCAAGCCAGGGACTGTGTTTGCACATAATTTGCATACATTTGCATGCGGTGTCGGCAGGGCCCAGCATAACATGGGAAAAACACATTTTTCTCGCCAGGGTGCTTGCAGCCTGGATTAGAGCCCAGGTGTGCAGAAACCGAGCCTATAAAGTTCTTCCCTTCTGTGGCCCTCTGGGGCAGCCTTTCCTGCCTCCCTCCCCTCACTGTGGAGCTTGAACCCCCAAGTCAATAGGTTCGGTGGGGGGGGCGGTGCCCCAGTCAAGGAGCTTGGATTCTCCTGGTCCTGGCTCAGCTGCACACTTGCTCTGTGACTTGACAGGTCCCTTTTCCTCTCAATGGCTCCATCTGCCTTTGTAGAAGTCTAGGGTTTACAGAAGAGCAGGAAGTGGAGGGTGTGCACCCGGAGAAGCATCATGCCGTTCATGCATGCATGCATGCATTCATTCATTCATTCATTCATTCATTCATTTAGTTCTATTTCTTGTGTGCTTACAATGTACCAGTGCCCTCTGTTCTGGAATCAACAAAACCAGCCATGATCCCTGCCTCTGGCGAGTTCCAGGGAGACTGGCACTAATCAAATGACCACACCAATCAATGCACAATCACAGCTGTGTTAAGTGCTTCGCAGAGACGCATGGTGCTTTATGGGAACCTAGAATCAGTCTGGAAAGTCACAGAAGACTTTCTGGAGGAAGTGTCCTTCAGCTGAGATGTTAAGTACAAGATGCTATCTAGGTAACAGGGACTAGAAGAGCCTTCCAGGGAGAAGAAAAAACACATGCAAAGGCCCTCGGGTGGAAGGGAGCAGAGCAAGTATGCAGAAGGGAGAGGAAGGTGCTGGGTGCTGTATCTGAGTGAGAGGGATATGAAGTAAGAATAGACAGGAAGTTGAGGCCAACCCCCAGGGCCTTTGTGACCCATTAGGGAAGGATCTTTAAAGCGATGATGCCTTTATTCTAAGAGCAGTGGGAACCATGAAGCCAGAAAGTGACATAAGCAGGTTTGCAGTTTGCAAGGATGGGTGTGGTGAACACAGGAGCACCGAGCAGGATGGTGGGATTGTCCCTAGAGAAAGCTAGGGCTTGGCTTACGTCACAAGAGTGGAGATGCAGAGGAGGTGAGGCGTGGGACCGCCAGGTGGTAGTAGCACAGACCAGGCTTGGTGATAGGTGAGGAGGAGGCTGGTAGGGGGAGGGGTGTTGGCAATGCCCTCTCCGTGTCTGGACAGCTCTGCAGCCATGGACTAAAGTCAGGAACGTGGGGCTGGCGGCGGAGGCGGGGTTTGGAGATGAAGAGCAGGAACTGAGTTATGGTCATGTTGAATTTACATTGCCTCTGGGGCATCCCAGTGACAGTTTGTAGAAGCATCTGGAGTTCAGGGAAGGGATGGATAGGGATGTGGTGTCCTCCCAGTCCCCAGCCCCAGGTAGGGGGATTCATCGGAATCTCCTCTGCATCTGGCACCTTCCAGAAGCAACCAACCTCATCTGTCTTTAGTATTTTAGACCTATTTCTTTTCTTAATTATATATATATATATATATACATATATATATTTTTTATTTGAGGGAAAGAGAGAGAATAGAGGAGGAGCACATGGAGAGAGAGAGAGAGAGAGAGAGAGAGAATAAATCCCAAGCAGGTTCCGCACTCTGCATGGAGCTTGACACAGGGCTCGATCCCACGACCCTAGGATCATGACCTGAGTTGAAATCAGGTGTCGGATACTCAACCGAGGTGCCCCTAAATCATTTTTTTTTAAAGATTATTTATTTTGAGGAGGGAGAAGGGACAGAGAGAGAGGGAGAGAGAGAATCCCAAATAGGCTCAACACTCAGTGCAGAGCCCCACACAGAGCTTGAACCCACAAACTGGGAGACCATGACCTGAGCCAAAGTTGGGGCTCAACTGACTGAGCCACCTAGGTGCCCATCCCTTAGACTTATTTCTAATCTAAGGGTAGACAGAACACTGGGGAATGTGATAAATATCTTCCCACATTACCTGTATTAAGCTTGCATTCTCCCTATATGCACAAGGTATTGTTTGAACCCCAAGCCAGCACCCACAAAGGAATTCCAGGCTAGTTCCAGGAATGCTGTGCATTCTGGAGAACATGGTTTAGATGCAGAAACTTTAGGATTCCTGGGATCTTTGATGGTTTGTGGGGACAAGTGGACAGAATATTTGAAATAAAGACATTCAGAAAACCGAGGCTCTGTGGTTTCCATGCTATCTACAGCATTATCCCAGCATTATTTGGGAACTACTGGATGCCAGACCTTAGGCTGGCATTTTTTCTTTTTAGTAGTATTTTACTGTTTACTTCTTCCAAAAGTGAGGTAGTGATAAATCAGCCCGTTTTATAGGTGAGAAAACAGAGTCTCAGAAAGGTTAGATCACTGGCCCCAATTTGGATTGGAGCTGAAATTCTAGCCCAGACTTGTGCTCTTTTTCCACACCAGCCGCACGTGAAAGTGGAGTTTTAATCTGGTGTCTAGGAAGGATTTGGCTTTCTTAAGGACCAGATACTGGGCAAGGAGGCACACTTGGCTCATACACTGCCCAGCAGGGGCGTGGAGCTCAGCACAGGCTGTTTGAGGCTCTCAATCGCCCTGCTTTCAGCCTCATGGTCTGCACGTGGCCCCCACCCCTCACTTAGCAGTCTCAACTCCCCTTCCTCTGCAGGAACTTGCCAGCCAGCACCTTGCTCTTCTCGCTGTCCCATGGGAAGGCTACCTGCTTTCTCACCTCCACGCCCTTATTCCCACCGTGGCTACTTCTAGAATGTCTTTTTCTGCCCAAGCTCTGCCTGTCTTCTGCATCCCAGCTCCTGGCATACTCCTCCTCATCCTTTGTGACCCAGCTCAGTGGTCTCCTCTGCACCCCTCTGCCTGATCCTCCAGGTAGAGTTGGCCATCTGTCTCCTGGGCCAGGAGGGTTCCTAAGAGCCCTAAAGCCAGGCTCAAATCCTGACTCCTCCACCTGGGAACTCTGTGACTTAGGGCAAGTGACTTACCCCTCTGTGGCTCCTGGGCTGCTTCTCAACTCATGGTAAGATTAATTTAATGAGATGACAGAAGTAAAGCTTTTAGCCCAGTGTCTGGCACATAATGAGCCTTTGTGAGTGAAGGCCCTTGTATGGGTTGGAGCCCATTCTTTTGTGAGTATTTATTTGCTCTGTTTTCCTCACCAGGCAGGGAGCTCCTAGAGAATAGAGCCTTCTTTTATTTAGTATTCCCAGTATGTACCATAAGCCTGAGACATTCTAGGTGTTTAGTGCACATTTGTCGAATGAATGGACAGACACTAGCATCTTTATTCTATATATTTTGCTTCCCTTCTCCACACCTGGCTTTTCAAGGTAACAACTGGGTTTCATACTCAACTGCACCCCTTCACAGAGCCCAGCCTGCACATGGCAGGTGCTCAACAAAAGTCTGTGGTTTATTTCTGTAGGCAGCCCTTTCTCTGACAAATGGGATTCAGTCCCTGATCCACACAGGCATCAGCCAGCCTCTGGAGTGTAATGGATACATATTTCTCATTGCCCACGTGTCTCGCTTTCCCTGGGGAACACTGTATTAAATGGTTGTTCAGTAGCTCAAGTGCACAGATATTCTTTTCAAAATTACTACATTCACCTTTTGTTGGCAAAATATGCCATATGAAACCTCCCAACCTCTTACTGAGCATGACTGTGTGCTTTCTGCTGCTACCTCAATGGCAGTTCTTGAGGCCAAAAGACCTTGTCAGGGTTTCAAGTATCTGCTTTGCCAAATATTGTCTGGACTCAAGGGGCCAATGGGAGCTGATTTCTGGGTTAATCTGAGCTGACCTGTCATTGCCATCACGGCATCATCATTTTTATCGCTTACACCACCATCACCACCACTATAGTCATCACCACTGCCAACGCCACCATCAACACCATTGCTACTACTACTGCCATCACCACCACCACCACTATCACCAATATCACCACCACCATCACCACCATCATAACCACCATCACCATCATCACCACAACCATCACCACCAGTGCCGCCACCACCATGAACATCACCACCATCATCACCACCACCATCACCACCATCACCACCACCACGACCAACATCACCACAATCATCACCACCACCACCACCGCCAACATCACCGATATCACCACCACCACCACCACCATCACCATCACCACCATCATAACCACCATCACCACCATCACCACAACCATCAATACCAGTGCCGCCACCACCATGAACATCACCACCATCATCATCACTGGCGCCACCACCATCACCACCACCACCATGACCAACATTACCACAATCACAATCATCACCACCACCACCACCAACATCACCAATATCACCACCACCATCAACCACAACCATCAGCACCAATGCCATCACCACCATTGTCACTGCTACCATGAACATCACCAGTAACACCACCACTACCACCATTGTTACCACCATCACCATGACCACCACCACCTCCAGCACCACCAACATTATCACCATCACCACCATTACCGCCAACTTTGCCACCATGATCATCACTGCCATCCACACAACCACCATCATCACTACCATTATCACCATCACCACCATCTTCACTACTGATTAATGCTATTAATCACATTTTTGAGAACCTTGTCTTTGATAGATGTAGAGCTAAACATCCTACATTTGTAATTTTATTTAATCCTCAAAATGACCTTATAGGTATGTATGTTTTTTATTTTTGTCTTACAGATGAGAAAATGGAAGCTCATAGAGGTAAAGAAAGTTGCTCAATGTCACACAGCCAGCAGGCGCTGTAGTCAGTTTTTCAAAAAAATCAAGTCAGTAGTCATTTAATGAGCATCCATTGGCATACAGGATACAGTGCCCCCTCCACCCCATTGCTGCCATTACCAGGGATGCAAAAAGGAGTGTGCTTTTTTTTTTTTAAAGTTTATTTGTTTTGAGAGAGAGCAAGTGAGAGCGAGCAAGGGAGGGGCAGAGAGAAAGGGAGAGAGAGAATCCTAAGCAGACTCCTCACTGTCAGTGCAGAGCCTGATGCGAGGCTCGATTGCATGAACTGTGAGATCATGGCTTGTGCTGAAATCAAGAGTCGAATGCTTAATCGACTGAGCCACCCAGCTGCCCCAAAATCAATGTGCTTCCTGACTGTGGGGGTCTTTACAGCCCTCTGAGGGAGATTGGATGCATATCATCAATACAAATCAACCTAAAAGTGTGTCCTAGGCAAACTACTTGAGGGCAATGGGAAGGAAAGGTGACGTGTGGTTAAGACCTATACCTAGAGGCACTCTTTTGCCATATACACTTTGATAAAAGCCATCCTAGGCTCTGTGGTCACTTAGGAGACTTCTTGTCTTCACGACCGGCCTCAGGAGTGTGACCAACTCCAGGGGAGCCTTGGCCCTCTCTAATCCCACATCCCAAAGTCCCAGGCCAATTTCTTTTGCTGCTCTAGGTTAAACAGGACACCCGTCTTGGTCTCCAACTGGAAGGGAGTCTAGCAGCCTCTCACAGATGGAGAAACCGAAACGCAGGGAAGGGAAGGAACTTACTGAAGGCTCAGAGTATATTTCCTTTTTTGTCAACTCCCTTAAAGCACAGACATTCTGTGAGGACTGTATGGACTCTAGGTTTATCTAGAATGAAAGGGATTGAAAGGCACCCACATTAAGACTGTATTTCCTCATTGCTGGTTTATATAGTAAATGATGGGGGAGGGGCTCCTCCCTCAGTCCCTTCCAAGGGAACCTCAGGACAGGCTAGTTGAGCCTAGAGGTGGGGGGCTGAGAGTTCTTTGTCCACCAGTCTTTAAGGAGTTCATGGCAGGCCAGGGAATCTTCCCCTTAGAGAAAGAAGATTCCAGAGCACAAGGTTCCAGAGGGTCTCTAGATCCCTCATGAGAAAAATGACCAGCAGCATTTCGGTCTGGGCTTCTGTTCTGGAGTAGCAGACTGGCCCCTTTTCCTGAGAGGCTAGAGGCAGGGTTGGAGGGATTTAAAGATATTTGGTCTGAGTGATGGATGTAACCCATACTTTTGGCATTCTCTCAAGAAACTACAAAACTCCTTCAACTTGCCTTCTCATGATTTCTGGGTATAAGACTAATGTTCCTCTGACTGTGACTCATGCTGATGTTGACTTCAGGGAGGGGGAAAAATGGTCTGGCCTGAAGAGGGTTACACTTGATCCTTTCATTGGCTCTTATGACAAATATTTTTACCTCCCACGAAGTGTCAGGCGTTGTGGTGGCCAGTGGTGAAGACAAAGTAGAAGTGGTCCTTGGTTTCATGGGGAAGACAGACATGACTCTGGTAGTTACACAAATGGAAATGTAGTTACAAACACTTCTAAGCTCTACCCAAAAGAAGCAGGGGCTGCTAAGAGAAGTTAGGGAACTCGAAGTGGTTTTAGGAGTCAGGGATTCCTTGAGGAAGTAATGACCAATCATTATTTTACAGATTGGGAACTGAGGCTCAGAAAGATTGAATAGAGTCCAATGTATACAGCTAGTAAGTAGCAGCGTAGGGATTTTGAATCCTGGCTCTCTGACTTTGCAATCCAGCTTCTCAGCCATTTTGCTCCCAATGTTTCCAGTGGATGAGTAAGTTTAACAAGGCAAAGATGGAGTGGGCGTGGGGATAGTGGCGAGTGCCAGGCAGATGCAACAGAGTTCCATGGGAAATTCTGGGTGGTAGGAAGAATGCAGAGTGTTCAAGGAGCCATATGAGGGCCAGTGCACTGACATGAGTGGTTCAGTGGTAGGAAGGCTGGGGCGGGGGGATGGGCAGGGCCAGATTTCATGGGGCATAGTGGGGGCATTAGGGTTTGGGTCAAGATCCTGGCAGAATGAGCTGCACAGGGCAGGCTCTCTGTCTTTCTTCACCCATAGGTACCCAGCTGTGAGCACACTGCCTGGTGCATAGTAGGAAATGGTGAATGGCTGAGTACAGAGGGAGAGAACCCTCCTCTCTCCAGCCTTTGCCCTGCTTGGCTTCCTTAGTTCTCACTGTCCATTGAAATCCTCAGGGATTGTGTTAAAAATATAAATGTTGGGGCTGCAGCCATGGAAAATCCAATTTAGTAACTTGGCTAAGCCTGGGGTTCTGTATTTTCAACAAGTTTCTCAGGTGATTCTGATCTGGCTGTCCCCTGGGTAATGCTGGAAGCCAATAGTTTGGTTTGCAGTGGGCCACATGAAGGTGGGGTGCTGTCCTTCAGACACTTGCTGGGGGACACACCTCACTGCCCCTTATTACAGTGTTTATCTACAGTGCTCTGAAGAGAAACCCTCTTGGTAGGCGATCTTCTGATGGACCAGAAGCCCTCTTCCTTTGGGAATGCAGTTCCTGGACTGAGCCTTATCACCTGACGACCACCTGACCACCCAAGAATCCTGGACTAGATCATTGTTGACCTTGAGTTTCACGTATTTCTAGAAGTCTGTTGGGAACCAGGAGAGAGAGAAATTAATCAATCAATCCATCTACCAATCAACTAGTCAATCCAGAGAAGAGAGGAAGAAGAGGGCAGGATGGAGACAAGGGAACAAGGTAAAATAGGAGAGAGGATGAAGAGAGAGGATGGGGATGCAGAGGGAGAGGAGAAGGAGAGAACGGAGAGACAGGGGCCGAGAGGGGAGAGAGAAGGCACAAGGTGGGGATGGGGAGGTTCTGCAGGGACAGTCCTGACTGGTGCCAGCTCTGGGCACCCACAGCAGGGCACTAACTTTCCCAGCCATTCTTGAAAGGGCTCTGAAGGGTCACCAGGGAACATGAGCACAGCTTACAGGTATTGAGGGAGGTGGTGGGAAGATCTCTGCCCCCCCTTCCCATACTCTCTGCCAGGTTCAAGGCTTCAGCTGCTGGGAAAGGGCCCTCTTCTCTGCAGCTTCACAGACCCAATCTGTCCAGGATTCCTTGTTTATCTGATTGCGATGGCCACTCCCAAGGGCTCTCTTAGATACAAGGGCCGCCCCTTCCTGACATCCATCACTATACAGTGTTAAGTCACGGGAGGCAGGCAAGG